GAAAATAATAATAAAGAGAAACACCCACTATATTGAAAATAATAATAAAGAGAAACACCCACTATATTGAAAATAATAATAAAAATTCTTATGAGAACCAGCAATATGAAAAAAAAAAGTTCTTTCTGGAATAAAGCCGCATCAAAAACAACTTTGTCTACCGAAATATGAATATATATATATATATTCAAGAAGGACAAAGTATTGGCTCAGCCAGTTGTTTTACGTGGGACTCCAACTCTGTTATATTTCTGTTGTTTTTGTTTTAGAGAGTATCGCCTATGAGTTCGGCAGCGGTTCTGGAATCATCACTTTCAACCATCCCCTTGACCGACGACCCGACACTAAAACCGACCTCCTGGCACTGGGTTTCGTCACTGTCAGTGATAATGCTATTTTAGTTCGAATTTACAGCGGAAGCAGCAACGATTACTTACAACTTGAAATAGTAAGCCTTTCACTTTCCAGTTTTTACTGCACTTTTAAAAAGTTCATCTTGTCTAGCTTATTTATTTTCTTCTGATGAAGCTTTCACAATGAAAAGTGATAAAAGTAAATGTGTAGGATAACCTTTCCTGTAACGGTTTTCTTGTCTTCTTTTATAATATGTAATACAGTTACTTTTTTCTTTAGATAAAGCTTTTGTTGCATAGAAATAAATCTAAGTTACCTAAATTTAGGAACTGGTCTTAAAGTTTTTTTTATTATTGAAATATATTCTCCCCAAAGATAAGGTATGTCTTGTAAAGTCAGCTAAGAAAACAATTCTGAGAATACGCTGGTGATCCAAGTTATTTACTAGTATAGTTTTTATGGCAAATTAATCTGCTATATGAAAAAGGAATACGCAGAAATATCAAACTTCCTTGCTGTTTACAAGCATAATTGTTAGAAAATGATGCTAGGGGGAATGAAATATATTTTCCTGAAAGGTAAAGTGTATCTTGTAAAATTAGCTAAGGAAAAAAAATGTGAGAGTGCGCTGATGTTCCAAGTTATTTACTAGTATAGATTTTTCATGACTAATAAATTGGTTATATCAAATAGGAATACTCAAAACTATCGAATTTCCTGGCAGTTTGATCGTTTAATTGGTATAAAATGTGTATTTTTTCAATGACATTATTTTATATTAATATTTCGTAACCCTTAATAGCTAGAGGGAAATATTTTTGCCGTGTATAATCTTGGCACCGATGATCACCCGATCGGAGAGCTGAGTACGAGAGTAGACAATGGGCAATACCATGTGGTTCGGTTTACTCGCTCTGGACCAAACTCTACAATTCAGCTTGACGACCACAACGTTGTTACGAAGTACCCAAACGGTGGGTTATTTTATTTTGATACCTGAATGTTTATAAAAACGTTATGTCAATAAACAACTACTGAAAGTACATTAACACTTTCACTTGTGAAAGTGTTATGATGTTGTTTTATGTCATGTACAATAAGTATATGAATTATGGTGATTATTATAAAATTATTAGGTTCACAATTTTCCTTTGAACAATAAAAAACAGGAAAAATAGGATAAAGTTCACTATCCCCTTGTAACAATATTCCCAACCAAATCATAGATTCACTGTAACATATTCACAGATAAGTCACGTTGCTTTCAGTCACTATGTTTTATACTCTTGTTAGACTTTAATTATTTTCATCACTATTCGTTACCTGAAAAGTTTGTTCAATGAATAGTCTGTTGTGAAACTGTTAGAAAAAGATATAACTTCGATAGTTGACACTGAGGAACACTTTAGACTCTTTTTTTGATAATTTTAGAAGAAATATTAAAGTCATCACGTGAGAGTTCAGTATGAGACATTTGAGAACAACCTTATGACACTTTAAGGGTGAAACATTTGAGAAACACCTCGCGATAATTTAGAGGGGAGGGAGAGAGACCTGAAAATGCTAGTTTAGTGGAGGAACATTTAAGAAACACTACATGAAAGACAAAAAATAAATTCCTGTGAAAGTTCAGCCTACTCCTTAATTTTCATGTCACTCGTAGTGCCCATCATTCTTGTTTTATTAACTCTAGACTTACCAGTAAGTTCTCCATTAGGCTGTCTAAACACATTTTCCTAAACTATTTACGTAGTAAATGCATTAGTAGATTGGCCAACAACAATTTAAAAGTATAATGAAAATTTTATGTAGAGAACATATTACATGTTTTGTATGCCAAGTTTGACCCCGCTAGCTTGTGATAAGAAAATAACCATAATCACAAGGATTCTCCAGTTAGATGAGTGGTACCACATATTAGCAATGAACTGAACAATTATTTAAAAACTTGTACCAGGAGAGTTGGTAAAATCTTCAATAAAATCTAGAATTAATAATTATTATTCTTAATTATGAGTGACAGGCAAGCCACAAAAAGCCTTTATGGCCACTCTGCCTTAGGTCATTAGTTTGGTATCCTCGCCGTTATCTATGTTTTCGGCTCTTAACCCAAGAACGCATGACAAGGTTGGGCCTGCTTAGCGAATTAATAAGCACAGAAGCAGAACTGTCACATGTAAGCTTCATGTACCGTGTCTATCACATTTGGCCAATGCAATTATTATTATTTTAAAAATTAATGCTACTTAATAATCTAGTTAATACTATAAATAACTAAAGTAAATGTTGATTTAATTAAATTTAATATTGTAAATTACACAAATACACATAAACTTTCCTCTTATTTAGTATGTGGAAAGCACTGGCTAGGTGTCCATAGAACAGTAACATTTCCTGTGTGTATACTGACCTCTCGTGAAACTGAACAAGTTCTACTCGTATTTTTTTTTCCACCAGCTTAATTAATTAAGTGAGTCTGCCGAACCAATAGACTTAAAAAGAAGATTATGAAGGGATCAAACGACAGGTGACCAGTTCTTAAAAGCGGAAGAATAATTTAAGAAAAGTAGGCCTAGGTTTTGAGGAAAGCCAAAGATAAAAACTATAGTTTTAAATCTCTATTGCGTGATAAATGTTTAGACTCGTGTTGAAGTATATAAGGTCAGGATAAAGAAAGCTATAGAAATCCTATAGTAATTATGTTAATTGTGATATAAACTGAGTCATCGACCATTCCGTGGTAAATGATTGACCAAGCATAACATCCTGTGGAGTGGAATAAAATTATAAATGTGAAAGGTGAAATGCATAGGCTCGTGTTGGAGTACATACGCTTATGATAAAGAAATTTATTTATTCTGTATTTAGTATGTGAATTACACGATTTACGCTGAGTCAACGACCACTCCGTAGAAAACAGTTGACTCAGCATAACTAATGTTAGTGTTGAATAAAATGATAACTTTGAAAGGTTGAATGCTTAGGTTTGTATTTGATTATAAGAGGCTAGGATAAAGAAAGCTATGCATAATCCATAGCTATTATGTTAATTTTTGAAAACATTTTTCATAATATAATTATTGAAAATTGTAGATAAGCGGTAAAATTGTCTTGCTATAGATTTAAGTTAAAAATAAATTGTGCTTACCATAAGATAAAATAAAAATTCGTGTGTAATTTGTTGAAAAAACCTCTGCTCCAAAGTGTATGTTAGTGTTTCAGCTGTGTTTATAAAATCTTCCAACTTACAACATATTCTAGTAAACTTAATGAGTTGTAATAAATAGTTTGTTTGTTTTATAACAAAGCCACAGTAGGCTCTCTCCTGTCTCCACCGCGGGAAATCGAACCCCGGATTTTAGATTTGTAAGTTCGTAAACTTACCACTGTCCCACCGGGGGACTAGTAATAGATGTACGTTATATAACATTTCAGTTGAGATGTTTGTGTCAGGGAGTGAAACATTTATAACTGTAAAATTAATTATTATATTTTATTGTAAACCTTGAAGGAAAATGTTTGATTAATACAATAATGTTCAGATCATTTTTATTTGTTAAACGTTTTATCAAGTACTAGAAAGATATCTTGGGTAGCATGCTTAGCTATGTCAAAAAAGTTTATGACTTTGGCGCTGCTATGTTGTCGATATATCTGCATTTTTTGTTAATTTGTAAAGCTTTACAGTAATCTTTCTTGAGAAGTTGTGTGACGTATGAATATTCAAGTTAAAAAAGAAATACATCGCGTCTGTTTAAAGATGTACGAGCTGAGTCGTGCGAATATGTTAAGTAAAAATATTTTAGCTTGTATGAATTCGTTCAGTGTAAAAGAATGATAATTTTAATGATGATTATTATCAAAAAGTATTAAATATTACCTATTTAAATTATTAATTTACTGGCGCTGTAAAAATATATTTTAATTGCAGGCTCACGTTTTTTAATGATTTCGTGTAGGTATAGGATGATATAAAGATTGCCGAAATCAAATGTTTCGATAGATTTAGCTTTGAAATATTTTTAACGTTTGTTTAGAATCCATGGAATTTTTGATAATTATGTATGGAATAATACTTGCTCTTTTTTTCATAATGTTACAATAATACCTGCTCTTTTTTTCATAATGTTACAATAATACCTGCTCTTTTTTTCATAATGTTACAATAATACCTGCTCTTTTTCCATAATGTTACAATAATACCTGCTCTTTTTTTCATAATGTTACAATAATACCTGCTCTTTTTTTCATAATGTTACAATAATACCTGCTCTTTTTTCATAATGCTACAATATTTCTTCAAATGTTCTTTTATCTACTTAAAACTTTTATCTATTAAAAATTGGTAAACGTTTTACAGTGGCTTTTTTTGGCCCCAGCTATGAATCTGTATGTATAGGGTGGCTTGTGGAGTTTAAAAATCCAGGATAACTTGGGTATTACATTATTACTAATATGTGTATCCACTGCAAATTCTCTTTAAAATTTATTATATTTTGCACAATGTCATTCGTATTGTTTTTAACACAAGTATTGCTTGAAAGTGGTAATGTATGAAAATTGTAATCGAGTTACTTGTTTGTTTGTTTGAACTTAAGCACAAAGCTACACAATGGGCTATCTGTGCTCTGCCCATCACGGGTATCGAAACCCGGATTCTAGTATTGTAAGTCCGCAGACATACCGCTGTGCCACTGGGGGGCTCGAGTTACTTACAAAGTGTAATAATAAGAGTTTTTGAAAATAACAACAAAATTACTGGCAGCTTTGTCTGCTGGTGTCATGACATATTTTTCATGTAAAGACTTTAAAGATTCTTTGTTAACTTTTCAATGAAATATTTGTATTAAAGTATTAGACGTAATTTTATTTCAAAAAGCATTCTGTTTTTGGTTACTTCTTCTACCCGTTCCATTTGTTGTAAGAACTGCTTGGGGTTATTTTTAATGTTTACTGCAGTTTCATACTAGTTGTTTAAATGATTGCATCAAAACGTTTCCAGTTAATTTTCGGATATTCGAGGAATTTAGGTCTTTTACTCATCAAAGCTTTTAAATCTTCATTTTCAATAATGTTAAGATTTCCAGTAATGGGACGTTGAATGGATGTGTAAATGTAAGGAGCATTAAGGCAAACACAATCTAATCTATAATGTTGTTCAGTTCGTTATTAAAAACCTGTTACAATTAAAACTATGTCTGCGATGGTTTTATGGAAGATGTAACTTACTGTTGGTAATTTAGTGGTACATATTGGAGGTAGTAATTTCTGTGACGTATAATAGTTTCTATATTAGTAGGTTCTATGCTTTTATCAAGAAACGGAACAATTTACTTTTGTTCGGTGTTACGAGTTTACTTGAAAAAACTGATGACAAGTAGCTTGTTATAGGTAATGTAAGTTGACTATTAACAACTGTGGAGTTTCAATTCAAATTGGTATAAATTAAATATTTCGACTCCAAGGCTCCGCAATGCAACATAAAAGAACGGACTTTGTAAAAGACATCTGGTTTCTAAATTATAATCGTACAGAAATCACGCGAGACTTTAAAAGAGACTTTCAGTAGATCTGTTTACACACTGCAAAACATTTACTGTTTTATTAATTCATCAAATATAACAGGATATTTTTAACAAAGAATGTTATACACTAATTAGAATGCATAGAAACTGGTAGAGAGGCCCTTTTATGAACGTATCAATGAACACCACATTCAAGACAGAAATAAAGTAGATGTGGAAAAACGTGCATGGTTGAGTACTACATTTTGAATTATAGTATTATAATGTTTAAGATTCTCACGAGATCCGACGATTTTTTAGATAGGAAAATTAAGAATCCACTTCTTATACAAAAATTTAAACCAATAACAACAAATATAACGGATGGTCACTTTATTAAATATAACTAAGTTTCTTATAAGTAATAACTTAAAATTACCTACTTAGTTTGCCTAAATTTGTTGAACCTTCTCGTTTAAGCTTTCCTTTTACTATGTAAGATATTATTTCTTTGTTCCACCGTAATGTATATATAAAAGAGAAATCAGTAAAGAACAAATATAATGGATGGCCCCTCTCTTTAATTTTACTAAACTTATTTTAGATAATAACTTAAACTTTAATTATTAATTTTATTTACATTCCCCATATATGATTTCCTTTTGTTATGTAAGATATTAAGGTATTAAACCTTTACTACGCTGACGAGGCATGATTAGAATTAAATATATTTGCCGGAGGACGTTAGTACTAGTTTTGTTATATCTTTTAACACTACATTCTTTAGCCAGTCCCGTGCGGATTTTCAATAGTATTGTAACAGGAAAAAGTATAAAGTTACTGAATGTGGCACTATTATGTGAACCAGATCACTAGAAAACTGTGTAAAAAGAAGTCAGAGTTAATTGTGTGTGTTAAAATATTTCACTTAACGTTTCATTGTAAAGATTCGAACCAAATCCTTTTGCAATATTTACATTTCATAGAAAGCCGACCGTGGCTAAAATCTTTCAACGGCTAAACATGTAAAGGTATTGTGCTTTTTTTTTTTTTTGGATGAAAACAAAAGTAATAACAAAGGCCTGCGAATTTAAACTTCATAAAAGTTGTTTTGGTTATAATAACGGATAATCCATAATTCAGCTACGCAGATTTCGAAAATAATCTTCATTTTTTCTATTACGAAAAGATTTTTTACAAATCGGAAGAAGAAAAAACTTACTTAGTTCAAATTATTATTTCGTTTACCACAATGAACAGTTTTTATTATTATGTTAACAAAAATACAACAAACCGAAGAAAAGGGAAGAACGTTGATGTCAAGCGAATATGCATCCTCATTCATCCAGATTTTTTGTGTGAAATATACGTCTTTTAGTCTCAAAACTTCGTGTTGTGGTCTTTCTTTCATGTATTGCATTATGACGTTTTGTGAAAAACCTATACGTGATGGAGAAAACCATCACAGGCCTGTGTAATCAATAAAACGTACAAATGACAAGGTTATCAAATTGTTCTTTATTTATAAATAATACTGCTTTAAAACCAAATATTCCCTTAAGCAATAAAGTACAAAATTAGCTTGATTCTTTTCAGGAAAACAATTAGCAATTTTTAACAGTCATTCGAAAATTGAAATCGGAGCTAAGAAGAACATGGGAAGTGGGCGGCTTGAAAAGCCTTTCCATGGCATAATCACCGGACTGGTGTTTAATGGAGACAGGCTACTAGACATGGCTTCTGAAGGTGACCCTAGAGTCACTGTGGAGGGTGACGTTGAACTACTTGTTTCCATTCCGTACGACCTTGGTCAAGTGAGGCCTTCGGATTCACAGATGCATCAGGTAAGGAAATATTATCGATAGAAACCGAACTAGTTTACCTAGTAGCTCTTGTTGTAGTGAGTTTATCTACCCAGTAATACTTAGTTTAATAAGTTAGTTTACCTAGTAGCTCTTGTTGTAGTGAGTTTATCTACCCAGTAATACTTAGTTTAGTAAGTTAGTTTACCTAGTAGCTCTTGTTGTAATGAGTTTATCTACCCAGTAATACTTAGTTTCGTAAGTTAGTTTACCTAGTAACTCTTGTTGTGAGCTAGTCTACCCAGTAATACTTGGTTTAGTAAGTTAGTTTGCCTAGTAACTCTTGTAGTGAGCTAATCCACCCAGTAATACTTGGTTTAGTAAGCTAGTTTACCTAGTAACTCTTATAGTGAGCTAATCCACCCAGTAATACTTAGTTTAGTAAGTTAGTTTACCTAGTAACTCTTGTTGTGAGCTAGTCCACCCAGTAGTGCTTGGTTTAGTAAGTTAGTTTACCTAGTAACTCTTGTAGTGAGCTAGTCCACCCAGTAGTGCTTGGTTTAGTAAGTTATTTTACCTAGTAACTCTTATAGTGAGCTAATCCACCCAGTAATACTTGGTTTAGTAAGTTAATTTACCTAGTAATTCTTGTAGTGAGCTAGTCCACCCAGTAGTGCTTGATTTAGTAAGATAGTTTACCTAGTAACTCTTATAGTGAGCTAATCCATCCACTAATATTTGGTTTATTAAGCTAGTTTACCTTGTAACTCTTGTAGTTCGCATGCGTATTTTAGACCTAAATAAGTCAAGAAAGCCATAGCAATCGTATTTATTGTAATGTTAATTTGTTTTTAGAAAATTACATGCGGATTAAGTGTTGTTTGTGTGAAATACTTTGCAAATAAAAAAAATGAAGCTGAAATCGAAACCAGTCCTCACATGATGACAAGGACATTGTGCCATCGTGTACCATACTCGTTGCATTCAAAGGTTTGCTAAGCAAAAAACAGGTAAGGTGATTCTGAATGGAAAAAATAATATGCAATTGGGACCCATCTGACAAAGACCTTTCTAACGATATGAAATTTGTAGCGTTTGATCGAGAAATTTGCGAGAAAAGTTCTGGACAAACAAACTGACAAACGCAAGCGTATTATTTATATAAATTTACACTTCTGTTTTCTCAGAATTTTAATGTAGCTATCATACCACCACCCCCCTCTCTCTCTCTTTTGGAAGTGGTTTAATTATAAATAATTCGATTTTATGAGTATTATAAATATCTATTCAATAGCTCATCAGGACTTTACAGTGCTATACAGTGTTTCCTTCTATAACAATATACATGTGATGACTGAGTCAAAAGTTCTGGGAACGTCTGTAAATATCATAGCAAATGTTTGAATTTCTTGTTCTTCTTTCTTCTGCTTCTTTTTTATTACATTATAACTCAAGAACCCAAACAATGATGTCAACCAATTTCACTGAGGTGACACAGTTTCAAACGGAGTATCCGCTTTTGTAAGTATTATTAATAACTAGTAATTGGAAAATCATAATTCTAGTGTAAACGATGTTATCATTACCCCTTGAAGTTAACTTTCTTACAGAAATTTGGTGTTCCTTTAAAAAACTTAAGTACAGGGTGAAACAGGAATTACCAGCCAATAATAAGTAAATCTCATTGTGTTGGAACCTCATTGTGTTTAGAAGGTTATAAGTACAACCTTCCTATATCTATTGAAACACTGCATTAGAAAA